AGAAAGAAAGTATATACAAAAACTATATATTCTTTACCCGACTGAACTAGCGAGAAGGGTAATGCTTTTCGATATATATATTTATATATATATATATATATATATATATATATATATATATATATTTATATATATATATATATATATATATATATATATATATATATATATATATGTATGTATGTTTGTGCGTATGTATGTGTATATGTATGTATGTATGACACTATTTCGGTAGTACGCACTATGGCCTAAACCGCTTGACTGATTTTAGCAAACATCATGTCGTTAGATTCGTAAAGATCGTGCTAGTAAATAGTCTATATCAGTCTCTATAGTATATATCAGAGGTTCTCAACCTGTGCTACATGTAAAAGTGGTGGTACATATCATTATTTGCAGTGGTAAGCAACACTGATTGTGAAATCGTGGAGTAGTCGCCCATCGCCTTTAGTAAGTTTAAGTTTAATAATAATTTGACTTGTGAGTTTTGAAGTGAGTAGTAGTACACAGAAGTGAGTTTAGGTTAGCCCGTATCTTGTTATTTTTTAATTATAAAATAATGGATAAATGGTTAAAGAAACCCGTAGAATATGTAGAATAATATTGCGTTCAAGAAACAAGTGATTCACAATGTACATGATACATAAAAGATCGCTTGTATTACTGTGTATAATAATAAGGTATAGAAATGGTGTTTTTATGTTTAATATTAATATTATTTACATCAGTACGGAACTTTATTTTAACATATAGATATGGTAGGGTTTTAAAAATAATAACTTTTGGAATTGCAAATGAACCTTCAGTTTACGTCTATCTGTAAGTTTGTGGTGATTGTTTGACATCTTGTGCAGAAATTGTTGTCGATTCAAAATATCCCTCATCTGAAGTAATTAAGTGCGGACTGTGGTTGGAACGTGGATTTGACAATAGCTCCTCCTCTTCATTGATCTCCAGTATAACCTGCTGAAATTTTCTTTTCATCTTCTTACGTAAATATTCGGAAGAGAGACACCTCATTTCGGATGCAACGTATTTTCCGAAAATGTCATACTGATCCTCCTCTTCATTCAATGTGCGTATAGCCTTTTGTATAAGTACATCATCATTTGAATTTTCAATTCGTCTCTTCTTGAGTTTAATTTCATTCTTTTGCGATACAGATGTAACGTAGGAACGATTTTCTTCCTCAGGCTGTGATGTACCTTCGATGTCAGATGAAGTGTTCACATCATTTGTTGCCTCCTCCACTTCAGCACTCTGTTGACAAATATATTGTTGTTAATTAACATAGTTGGGTGTAACTTGTCACAAATATAGGACATTTTTAAATTTTGTTACAGTCTCCGTCTAACAAATTTGAGTTGGTTGGAACTTTCGTAAATGTTTGGGTGCTACGGACGGAAAACGGAGGTGATTCAATAAATGGTATGATTTCAGAAAAACAAAAAAAAAACGAAAAAAATATCTTTTTAAAAAACGTATACTAGACAGATGGAAATTAATGTGTAAGTGAACAAATATTTAGTTTTTGAAGACGCTATTGGAAAGATGGTCTCCATTTTGTCGGACACATTCTTGCAGCCGTGAGACAGAGCTGTCTACGCCATTGTGTAACATTTCTTGGCGTATTGCTTAAATTTCTTGGCGTATCCGTTCTTTCAAAGCCTTGATAGTTCTTGGGAGGTTTCTTTGAAACATTTTTGACTTTAGATAATCCTAAAGCCTAGGAAGAGGTCCGAACTACGAGGTGGCCAGGAAATATCGCCGTTTTTACTCATAAGATGACCGAGGAACGATCTTCTTAGTAAATCCATTAATACTCGCGATGTGTGACATACAGCACCATCCTGTTGAAAGGTCGTGTATTTATTTATGTAATTCTTAATTGCTAGAAAAAAAAAATTAACATGTGCATGTAGCGATTAGAGTTTTTTTGCATACTCACTTAGATGAAAGTCATTACTCATTACTCATCCAAAGATTATGCAGCAAGTTGTTTTCATTACACGCTCCAACATTTCTTCACAAAATTCTAGTCGGGTGGAATAATCTCGAACGCTAAGGACTTACACAATCTGGATATTGTATGGATGACACTAGAAATCGTTATGCAAAATTCTGCTCGTTTTAGGATAGCGTAATCCCAGATTTAAGCTTCGTCGTCGCAGGGATCTGCGTGGATTAGCGTGTACTGAATTTCACACCGTTTCAATATTCTTTGGTTCCGAGCAGTTGTGACCCAGGCACCTCTTTTCTGTGATGTTAAACCTTTACTTTCAAAGTTACTAACCTAGGTTAAAATAGCCGTGTTAGACGGAATTGGAGCGCGGGGCGGCAAATGTTAGTGTAAACGAAACGCTCGTTGTACAGGCACAACATTTTCATCATCTTTGTAATAAGCTTTCACAGCTAATGCACGTTGTTTACCCGACCACATCTTCATAATAACCAAATAACTGAACTCCCCAATCTCTAGATTCACAACGTTTACGTCGCAAGCTCGCGGCTCCTCTATTTTTTCCCAGCAATGTTTCCAAATTGTGCCGTTTCACTGAATCACCTTTTATAATAATTTTAGCTCAAAAAATATGGACACTTATTATTTTAATATTACAACATAGTTTGTATAAATGACAATGGTTTAAATGGAAGATTATCCGATGGGATGTTTTCAGAGCAAGTAGGGTTGTAGATTTCATTGAATCTGCAACACCAGGTCTGGAAATCAACCCGTTTACAGGAATAAGATTACGTGTGACACATATTTTTGTATCAGACTTAAATGTATTCATTTAATAGTTAAGGTTCCCTAAGAATTTAGAATAACAGAGTCTCAGGAGCAAGGACAATCGTGGAAAACGCATTTCGTATTGTATCCAGTGTATTTAGGGCATCAAGTAAACCTACCATTCTTATTCTAGAACGTGCGGAGTCTGTAATTTTGGCCGCATGCAGCCTGCCTAATTGGTTAATGATCGAAATTTTTTTAGATGTATACCTACACTCCAGAAGTTCGCCTTTTGTGTAAAATAACTATACCTAATATTGGCAAAATTGTACTAGACAAAGCGGTTATTAGGAGACTATCTTTGAAAACACGATTTAGTTAGTATCCGAGTACTAAGCAGTAAACTTGTGTTTTTGCCGTTTATGATACAAGGTAAGGTGTTTGCTTTTAGCCTACTATTTTCAAACGCTGTAAATGACCGATTAATTTCTTATCGTGTTTTGTTGAGGAAAAATTGCGGGAGCTCACGAATTGTGTGCGGGAGTTGAAGAAGACGAAGATGAATTCCTTTGTGAACATTGCTGCAATGTTCCCTTTGCGTTAGCCAGCGTTCAGAGAAAGATAAAGTTTTAAAGATTTTTTTTTCTTGATATTATATTTGTTGTTTGTAGAAGTGATCGTTTTACCCCTAATATGCGGGAAAAATAATTCCGTTGTTATTTCTTTTTATTTTGTGTATTATTAAAACGCGAATAAAGATTTTTTTCAAAAAAAACTCGTGTTCTATTAAAATAAATTACTCTCTCAAGGGTTTACCCTATTAAAATGCAATTTTAAAAATATTTTGCAATTTTAAGAAGTTTTTTTCTTAAGCGGATCACTTTTCCCCCTCTCCTCTTAATTCGACAGAGAAAATCTAGAAATAGGGGAAATTATCCATATGGAAACTGGTGACAGGAAGATGCGCCAGCATCTTCTACTTGCCTACTACCATTGGAAAAACAAGGCAGTGATAATACTCAAACAGGGCTAAAGAAGTACGAGAAGAGTGTAGGGAATAACTGCCATTGAGAGATTTCCTTGTCAACAGATTTATGTAAACACTTTTATTTAAAATGTGCATTATTTTTTACTTACCACTGCTAAATTCCTTTTTGCTGGTCTGCATATTAAACCACCTTGCAGAAATAATAGTGAATTATAGTAAGGCCACTTAGACATTTTCAGTTCATCATTCCCCTGGCCAGATTTTATCTTCTTAATTTTTTTTGATTCATTATTAAATTGATTCCTTAGGTTATGAATTTTTCTTTGAATCTCTTCCACTGTAGTACTAAATTCTTCTGCCATTTCCTTATATGCATAATTTTTTTTAATCTGTCCTTATAAATTGGACTTGTAACATCCCACAATTCAGGTTTACATTGATACAAGTTAATTAAGTGTTCCACTTCAGCTTTCAACCATTCTTTTTTATCACCCATCTTGTATCACGACACAAGTATCAAAAATGGAGTAGCCTACAACTTTTTGCAATAAATGGCCGACAGTTTCAATTTCGAACTATAAAAAACGGAATAAAATTTACATCTATCGTTATAGATGTCTCGACGCAAGTTGCTGACAATTTAAATAATATATTGCTGAAACTTTTCACTGTTTACATTAGTAAAGATTTGTGTCTGACACAAATTCCATACAATAAGTGTCAGATCTAAACTACCAAACGTCTAAACGTAGGTTCAGCTTGAGATCCGAAGTCAAGCGATGAAGTGCGATTATCTCAAGGACCGGCAGATGCAACGTTGCCAATAATATTGTTTTAACAGTAAATTAATTGTTTTTGTCATGACATTTTTGTTTTCTGTGTTGGTTCGTATGTCTAGTCACGACTAGTCTACTGTTTTTATAGAATAGCCATTCTATGAGAATGTTATTATTAACTTTGTTGAAAGTTTTCTCATAGTGAATAAAACCAACGTAAAGATCTTTTTGTTGATCTCGACATTTTTGAGCAAGAGTTATGAAACTATACAGAGTTTCTCTTTTATCTATCTATCTCTATATTTATTTTATTCTGGTCATAAAAAATGTATTTGTACGCTAAGTAGTTGTAGTTCTAATGAATAAAAGGCCATAAGAGTAATTTTGCGAAGAACGGTTATGTGTCATACATGTGTCACTTTTATTTACATACACACAACAGTTTCTCGCTCCCACTTATTTATTACAGATATTTTATTCTTTTCTAGCCAGGAATTTCAGAAGCAGTGAAATGAAAGGATAAAAAGAAATTGATTTAATTACCTGTAATTATTTTTCTAGCCGGTGACCTTCTTTAGAACGAATGTATGACAAAGTTAGTTACAAGTATGTCCAACACAAAAGTGCCTGAAGTCGAAAATTTTCCAAAATCTGGGAGAGTTAATGAGGTTTGCCAAGAATGGATGGTTAGAGAAGACAGTGCTCTAGCTTATCGCCTTCAAGATCAAGAATTTAGTGAACATTTTTCTGGGAACAAGTTTAGAAACGCATTAGTTCGTGAAGATTTTCCAAAAGCAAAAGATGAGCAAGTTAGAGAGCAGAAATTGGCAGAACAAGCAGCTGCTATTTACCAAAAAATGTTGGCAGAACAGGAAGAAATGGACAATAAACTAGCTAAAGAGTTATCCGATCGAATTGAAAGAGAAGAATGGCTTAAAAGGAAAACCATAGAAATGCAAGACCAAGAAGTAGCAAAACAACTATTAGAAAAAGAACAGACAAAAGTTGAAAAGGTACATCATTCGCAATTACCAAATCCAGCATACTCTCCTCAAAAAGTGCCCAGTTTACCACCCAAATATGAAAACCAGATTTCACCACATCGCCCAAATGCACTGAATTACCAAGCAAATTTACCAAGAAGACAAGCTCTACCAATGCCTTTACCACAAAAAACCCAGTACCTTGAACATTACAGGCCTCAACATGATCAGGTGGATGAAATAAATAGTGCAGAATTATATAATGAACCATATTTATCAGGTCAGCAGTTATCTGATCAACTAAACAGGATAGATTTAGCAGATATAGGTTCTGATATAGGTAATTTTAATTTTATTTGTTAATAGATAAATAATATTCACAGAATTAAAAAACCTAAATGTATCCCTAATATTTATGTCTATGTAGCAAATGTGATTCAAAAATAGATAGTATAGAATTTTTCATACAAAAATCATTTCATGTCATTCGTCACAACATCATAATACAGTGAAACCTGGATAATTCGAATCTCAGGGGATCGTTAAAAAAATTTGAATTATCCAAAAATTAGAATTATCCAAATATTCGTATTAAAAATATATTTACAAAAAAGAATGATATCTACAAAAGCTTCTGCAAATGATAAAAATCTTTTGTGCACTTTTGCAGATGTTTTCGTTCCTATTATTGCCTGAATTTTGTCAACCGAAAGAAATGGGCAAACAAAATTCGGCCAAGAATACAAATTAAAACATTTGCAAGCTATAAAAATGGTCAATTATTGTCATTATGACAGGTGTTCTCATTGGTATTTTCGGCCAATCTTCAATCAATATGTTTTCAACCAAAAAAGGTCAGTTAAAATTTTTAAGATTTTTTATGGTGCCTTGGTCCATAGGCTGGAGAACTGAAGTCATGTTGGCAGGAAAAAAAAATCCATTTACATTTACATTTTGAATTAGTGGAATAGTGTTGTAGGCCGTACAATTGTCAATAAACAAACTAACTTTTCTTTTTTTCTTTTATGAACATTTTGTCTAATTTCACCAGCCATTTCTCAAAAAGATCCCTAGCCATCCAAGCTCTTGCGCTGCTCACATATTCCACTGGTTTTGATTTGACGTTCTTAAAACAATGCAGATTAGACAATCAGCACTTCTGATCCGTCCAGTTTTGCACCAATTAGGACAGTGACTCTTTCTTTGCTTAGTTTTCCTTCTTGGCATTTTTCATTTTTAAATGCCAGTGTTTTGGCAGGAGTGCATTTAAAAAAAAAAAAGACCCATCTCGTCAACATTGAAGATTTCTCTTTTATCTATATCCTGAATCATCTTCTCCAATTTGTTTCCATTTATTGGCTTCTTGCTGATTAACGGCTCCACTTTCTCCACAAATGGATTTGAATGAAATTTTGTTGCATTCTTTGAAGCCATCTAGCCACCTCGTATCGCCTTAAACTTGTTTGTCTCCATTTCAACAACAAATTGTTTAACTTTGCTTCGTATAAGGGGACCACTCACGTTAATCCTCTTATCCCTGGCTTGTTCGAACCATTTTAAAACACATTTGGATTTTCTGGCTACCTTAACTATTTTCGTTCTTTACCGCACTCACTTTCACTTTTAAGATTTTTTTCTTTATTCTTCAACTACGTATATCCCCTACTTGAAGAAGTAGGTGTGAATTATCATGTGTTAGTAGGAATTCCAAATTCCTGGGCAGTCTCAGATAACGTCAAAGTTTTGTATGTTCGAAGTTTACTGAAGGGTGGGAAGAATTATTTGTGGCCAGTACAATGCACAATGGTCTTGAATGTCTTGAAACAAGTGGCGCATGACGACAGGAAAGAATACTACATCTTTTCGCGGATATTTCCAGAATGAATTTGGCATTTTAGCTTGTAGAGAAGTTCGAATTATCCAAAATTTAATTCGAATTATTCAAGAATTTTTACCATTACTTATATAGGAAATGCTGGGGACCAGAATAAAAATTTGAATTAAAGAAGATTTCGAATTAGAGAAGTTCGAATTAAGCAGGTTGCACTGTAGTTAATATGTGAGGAATTTTTAAAATGTCAACTATTTAAGAATACACTGGGCACTAGTCAACTGGATTTTTAAAATAAAAAATATTCACATTTTCAAAATTTCCTTTATCAATTTTCAGTAATGTGGAAAACGAGTTACTTTTAATCCATAATATAAAAGATCACATAAAAATGTATAATTTTGCCACCAGCTCTTTACAGCGGCTATTCAGTTGTTACTGAGTAGCCACAGTATTAAATACATAAGAAATGTTTTTATATATGTAATCAATATAATTTTATAATGCACAATGTAATCACGATTACATTTTGCTGATTATAGTACCATGTCTACGTATAGGATAAAACGGACAGCTCCATGTGTGTTATATTTTTAGCATTGTTAGAGAAATTTGAACTCTAAGTTTGATGTTATGGAAATTTTAAATACAAGTGATGTCAGTTTGTATAAATTGTGACGTAAAATGATTTTACTGTGAAAAATATGATATTTTAATATCAAAATAGCATTTCAAGTGCACACTTTGGGTATATGTTACCTTTGGGACAGTGAAGCTGAATTGTTAAGAACACGACTTGGTCTTTTTACAGTATAGCAACAATATAATGTGATTTATTAAGAAAATCAAATTTCTGTCACCTAGGATTTACTTAAGGCTCAATTAGCTCCAACAAACAATATGATGAAGAAAAGTAATTTACTGTAAGAAGTGCTGGGGAGTTTCAGTCCAACTTTCTTTATGGTTTTTTATTTGTTTTTGCAATAGATTACTAGAAACTATAATTTTATAATATAATACCAAATATAAAATATATTAAAAATTATATTTTTTAGGCATACCATTGGATGAAGTTACTGAACGTCAAATACAAGAGCAAAGAGATGCTGAATTGGCCAGAAAACTTCAAGAGCAAGAAGGTTATATAGAAGATAGGGATAGATTGCTTGCAATTGAAGCTCAAGATAAGGAACTGGCTAAACTGCTGCAAGAAAGAGAAAGAGCTAAGGCTAAACGTGCTAGGGAAAGAGCGAAACAAAAGGCTTTAGCCAAAAAACAACAGATGGAACAACAAGAAGGTATATTTTATGTTTTTATTGATACAATTATAAAATAATTAGTTCATAAATTTGTGTATTTAACTTTTATTGTACTTTTGTATCTGGGTTTTCTCTAAATAAGCTTGACACATCCATTTAGAATATTCACTTCAACTAGTTTGTTTGGATAGTTCAGGCAATTTCTACCTCAGTATGAGGCTTATTAAGATGCTTACTAAGATACCAATGATTCACAAGATACAGGATGCATTTACTTTTGGTTTCATTGCTCTTTGAAGTGTTGGAAATATGCTGAAATATTTAAAGTGAAGACGACCATGCAAAAGATGAAGGGACAACCTTTCATAGAGGCCAATGAACAAGCAGAATTGCTTATAAAGAGGAAGAAGAAAAAGAAGAATTTTTCCTTAGGGGCGATCTGACCCTCACATTATCACATTTATACTTTCTTTAATGGTTATGGTAAGAAACTCTACTTTTGATTAGAAGCTTCTTTCTTTCTGTGCTCCTATGTCCGCCAATTCATAAATTTATATTACTACAATGTCTCTCCCACGTTTCTAATGAAAACAACCTTTTTATATGTCCTTATTTAAGTGTCCAACTTTTCATTTCATGTATTAATGTACAGCATTCATAACAATTTAGTGACGTAGCTGTCAGTTAATTTGAAAGATTCTGTTTATAGAGAAACTTTTTCATTATATTCAAAACATTTGCCGCAATTGTCACGTACCAACCCTTGCTGGCCTCCTCGCTTACTTCCGCAATGTATTGTCGCATAGATTCTAACTTCAATTATGTGGAATGCATTTTATTATTCTTCTTCCCCAGTCACTGTGCAGTAACCAAAACTCTGCCTCTGTTTATCACGAGTTATGCGGCAACTGGCAAACAAATTATTACATGTGTAAAACTTTTAAACGTTAGAACCAAAAATTGTTTGTCCTAGTATATTCATTCATTCAACTGAGTAAAACTGCTAGATAAATTCGTTTCTTATTCATGTTAAAAAAGACTTACGTGCGTATTCTTTATTCTAATACGCTAGTCCTTTTGTGGACGCCTCTTGTCCTCAACATAAGATGGGAACCAAACTTCTGAGTGGTTGATTATGATAGACTCCCATTAAAAAATCTTCGTCGAAGCAGGTACCAATTCGATGTGTAAGAAATTTTACATTGTAAGTTTAAAATAACTTAATTTTATTTGAGAACAATTACAAACGCTTTTATTTTATAATTTGTGTTTAACAAAATACTAAGTTTAAAACTTCACCTCTTTGTTATGCCTTTATGTGTGCATAATAATGCGTGGTCAGAGCGAAATAATTTTACACAGACCGTGGTAAGCGCCGTGAGACTTAATGTTGTCAAACTTCTGTGGTTTTACTATCGTCAAGAAGCTGCAATTTATAGAGAATTATCCGAATGGCTTTTCAAAGAATTTTTAACAAATCTTTTTAATAGGCCTTTTGATTGCTTTCCAGTTTGTAAACTCAAAGCAATAAAACCTTTTGTTCTAATCGACTGCTAAAACCGTTTAGTAAAAATATAATGACAAAAAATACAAGTGTGTGATTCATGACTTACATTTACATAATATTAAAAGATGTTACTTTAAAGACAAATAGATATGCAAGTGTTCAGATTAATAGATCAGATTACCAAGGGTCGGCTCAAATTATTTGTTTTTTGAGAGATTCAGTTTTTTATCGAGCTTGACCTAAATTAACTGGCGATTCAAATATATACAAAAAAGAGGTCTGAGGGGCAGTTGTATATTTAAAACAATTTGAGAGATTTATGAGACATTTAACGAACTATTTTCGACTTTTTTTGTAGTAAGATACTTTTAAAAGTGTATTGCAAAGAACCATGATACAGAGAGGTATTCTATATTATTATTAAATAAATTATGGCTGTATTAAGAAATGAATATGGTTTGGCGATATGTTACAAGAATGTAACACTGGAAACTTGTAGAAATACGATGTAGTTATCTTCTCACTGGAGTTTAATTGAACATATACACCATTATTACTCCACTACTTTTTTCTACTGCACTGCTTTGATCGACATTTTTTTATGTAGAATCCTTGTTGTTTGGTTGTTCTTATAAAACTATTATTGAATTTTAGATCTGAGAACACCTCAAGAACGTGACAGTCACCAAATCATGCCCGATGATTCCTACGCATTTCCTGCCGATATCGTGCCACATCAAAATACATCATCTGTGCCTAGAACAGTTGCAGCTCATCCCGATTTGTATGCTATACCTAATCCCGATGAGGATGTAAGTTACAGTCTTCCAGTCGATGTTCTGCCCAGTGGAAGCGCAGTTGCCAATAATTTTAAACCAAACTATAGTCCTAGTAAATTTGATTATAGGACTGAAGTCAAAGAAGTCAATCATTTAGGTGCTATAGGCCCCAATCCGTCCTTAGATAAGGGAGTTGCTATAGGTCTGCCGGCCAACAGGCCTACCCATTTAGATTTAAGGTAGGTGATACTTTAAATATTTATTATTACTATTTACTAGTTTATTTTTGGAACTAAACTTTACTAATTTCCAAAATTATGTGTGTTGTTTTTTTATGAACGGATCCAATTGTCACATGGCATTGGGTATTGTGGATATAGTGAAAGAATTGATATGTTTTTAGACTTTTTGTTTGCATTTTTAATTAATTTAATCACTTCTTCATGTACTATTCATTCTATTATCACAACTCAGTGAGGCTCTAATGCTGAGTGGAAAATGAACTCAAAATGTGTGTAACTAATTAAAAAAAAATCAAGCGATAATGACACATCTGAAGAAGTAAAACTAAGGGTACTGATAGCAAACAAATGTTATTTTGGACTAAATAAGCAGCTAAAAAATAGAAATTTAAGTCAAGAAACCAAGTAAACAATATCGCGTTAGGCTTCCAGACTTTCGGATTAAACCGCGTCGATTGTCACAGTCTTCCATTTTCATTTACATTCATTTTAATGTAACAGTAATGCATTGAGTAGTGATCAGTGTAGTAGTGTCTGGGGACCCGAGAGATAAACCTCGGAAGCCCCAATGAAGACATCAGAGAGAATGTCGAAACCTCGCCGCAGTGACAATCGACGCGGTTCATCTTTCATTAAACATTGTATGTCCAACAGCTATTTCATCTTCAAAAATCAATTCTATAGACAAATAAATGGTGCCCCAATGGGCTCCCCTCTATCTCCAGTAATTGCCAATATTTTCATGGAAGATTTCGAGACCAGAGCACTATCCACATCAACGTTCAAACCCACATGTTGGCTACGATATGTTGACGATACATTCGTCATTTGGCCCCAAGGCAGGGATGCTTTGGTGTCCTTTCAAACCCATTTGAATGGTATACATGCTAGTATCCAGTTCACGATGGAGATGGAAACTGATTCATCCCTACTTTTTCCCGATGTTATCATAAAGAAAAACCAATCCCAATGTTTTCATTGCTCTGTTTATCGAAAACCCACACATACCAATAATTATTTGAATGCCAACTCTCATCACCCACCTTCAAAAATTAATTCAGTCATTAATACCCTTGTCTCCAGATCAATACGCCTTTGCGATGATGCAAGTAGACCCGCTGAGCTCTCTTGTTTAAAACAAGCCCTCATCGAAAACGGTTACCGCGAAAATCACATCAATAGGATCATCCACAGACATCAATCTCCCACTCAATCTCAATCCAAAGACTCAGACCCTCATCATTCGAAATACGATTCTTCCGTACATCAAAGATGTCACTGATAAAATCGACAAAATTCTTAAATCAAAAGGAATAAAAACAATATTTATCCCCAACAAAAACTTTCATCGATTTCCGATTAATTAGACAACATTCCAAATAGAACAATACGGAGTTCACGAAATTCCTTGTGCAGACTGCCTCGATCCTGTATAGGCCAAACAAATCGTGGAATCCAAAATAGTATTTATGAACATTCCATTTCTTTTTGCATTTCTGACTCAATTTCAGCTCAGGTCAACACCATCTTCATACAGGTAACAAAATTGATTTGGAAAACTCCAGAACTATAGCCCCCATCCGCTTCTATAAACCAAGAATTAACCGAGAAGCCATAGAAATTAAAAAAAAGGCCAAATCGTATCAATAAAAGAGATGATGGCATACAGTTACCTTCGACTGGGAAACCTCTCATAAAGAAAATACCATCCTCTCCACCCGTCAACCAAAATCCTACTGTCAGAAATGTTCGCGCCAACTGTGAAGTAGCAATGAAGCTTATGAATTTTTTTATTTTGCTGCTCCATGTATTTTACAATCTGACAATGGGCGAGAGTTTACGGCAAAGGTGATAGAAGAACTGGTTACAATCTGGCTGATTGCAAAATTTTACATAGTAGCCCAAGGTGCTCTCAAACTCAGGGCAGCGTTGCACGTAGCAACCAGATACCATACGTTCTTGAATGACAGACAAAAATTCGACCAAGTGATCTATTGGTTGTTTGTTTTGTCAGTACCAAAAAAATTCTTCATTTCATTGAATTATGGGGAGGTCTCCTTACAAAGCATTGTTTGGTAGTGATTCTAAAGCTGGTTAAAAGGTACTAATACACCCTTCCAATTATTGATAAACATTGAAACAGAAGAATAGTTAGAAAAATTAAAAAATGGGAAATGTGGCGGTAGTACTGAGATACAGCGTCAGAGTTTAAACACCGAGAGAATCTAGCATGGCATGGTGAAAGTCAAATCACAGACACATTACTCAAACAACCTGAAAATCCTGAGAATTGTTAAATCATTGATACTAATACGAATCTACTAAGTAATAATGTTCATTTAGAAATTATAGTGGCTGAACGTAGTTCCTCAAATCTAGATAACAATTACTCTACAAATGTTTTTTTTTTATTTTAGTTTGGTGGCCTTGGCCGAGCCAATTAGCCAGACAAATTTAAAGATAAACAATTTTAATCAGAGGAATTTTTTACAGTTAGAGGAATAAACATACAATCATCCGTAGAATCTAACGTGCAATTGTTAATAAATTACAACTTATTTTTTAATTTTTTTGCTGCGCTAAGACATAACCCAATTTAACATCTCGGAGGTTTATATCGTCCTTTTTTTTGAGATTTATCTTAATTTATTATAATTAAGTTTCAATTATAATAATTATATAATAAATTAATCTTAATCTTCTGTTTTAATTTAATCTTTTTTAAATATATTATAAATTTAATAATTAATTTAATAAATTAAATATAAATTTAAATTTATATTTATTAATAACATTGACGAAGAATCTAGTCAGTTAAACAGGACTTAGTACATTGAACTAATTTGTGTCGCATGTCAGAATCCTACCACTAGTGCCCATAGCTGTAAGTCTTGCAATAATCCTGTTCATGTCACACGTAAATAATCTGTAGTAGGAGAAGGTTTTGGTTCCACAGTACTGTGTTTTAGATGCAACGGAAAAAAACATACTATTTCAGAGAAATGAGGGCACACAAAAGTTTAAAACGTGCAGCTGAAAAAATGGTTGAGAACACAACAAAAAAACTGACACCTCAACTTATTGGCAGTAGCGTATTGATAAGTGTACCGAAAATGGATTGTGGACCTTTGAACACCAAAAATATCAAAGGAAAAATTTTGGATTTTAGAAATAGAGTTTATAGAATCGGCAAAAAAACATTAACTCTGACGAGAAGCTGCGACTATAGAATCAAAGTTTGGTGGGCAAGGTTTTTAAAAATGCTCGTGTAAACCAGCACAAAAACAACGCCGTACTATGAGATGTTGTTGCTTCAGGAAAAAGTTCTTTGTGGATCTAGCAATGTCAATATATGATTTAAATGAAACATGAAAATTATTAATAGCCTAATCTGTGAAGTCAATAACATCATTTTATAATAAGAAATCATAACGCGTTGTTCAATCAAATGATAGGGCTAGCGGTGCAACTAGATGACTATTTTAATTAGCTGTTTCATTACACGACTGATCGTCGTCTAGATGACCTGTTAAACGTTATCTTCGTGGTCGTCAGCCATTCGGCTAATCGACATTCAGACATGTGATTGAATGCTGTTGTTCAATCAAAGGATATCTGTTCTATCGAAAAAAAGCGAAAGTTGTGGCTTAGAGGATAAATAGTTCGTGGGAGCAATACTAGAACAAGTGACTAATTTTAATTATTTAGCCTTGCACAAAAGTGGGTACAAACTGACTATAATAGAGAGACGTGGAAGAAGAAAGAAGAGGCCTGTGTCCAAAATTGGACAGCAAGGACTGTATAGATAGATAGTCTTCACAAGTTTCGAGAAAAACAGAGGCATTGATCATAAAATCGGCAAATATCATATATGCGAAACAATTTACAGAACATTGAAGCTCAATGACTACACACACTCTGTAATATGGATGTAAAAGCGCAAGAAGATTTTTTTTAAGACTCCAAGCTAGCGAATTAAGATTTACCCTTGATACCACAAGAAGCAAGAAATGCCTAAACCCCAGTATTAAGAGCAAAAGTAATAAAATGGTCGATACCACAGCATTGGGTTAAATACACAAATACACTATTTATTTTGGATCAGTTTATTTAGTTTAACTTACCGTATTTTATGATTTAATAATCGAAACATCCGTTTTATAGGTCAAAACAATAATTAGTTTGATTAAAATTCATCTCTTTTATATTGGAAGTTTGAATATATCATAATGTTACACACTAACTACTAAAAGCTTGCAGACATTTCATTATTTATCTTTTTATTTCTAGTATTAAATGTATTACGATTATCTGATAAGAATTTTATTGTGTTTCATGTAATATCTCCGTTCGTGGGCTCTTTGCACATTCAATTCTATCATTCAATTTATACGAATTCAATCAAACGTATGTTGTCGATGTTAGAATTATAAAGTGGCTATTATTCGATTAACTTTTTGGACTTTTTTTTGTACAGGGTGTTTCATTGGGAAACGGAAATACTTAAATGGTGAATAGAATGTTTGATCGATTTTTCTTATTTCTTTCTTAATCCATAACTTTAGAATCAGCCTGTATATTTTTTTAAAATTTACGACCCACTTGCTAATCACAAGAAAAATCCAGGTCCGGATTACTAAGAAAATTTAAAGTAATTGTGACCTTGAAACGCCCTGTTTATTGAAATTTTCAAAATCCGTTTGCATATTTTAAAAAGCACACAAAACAAAGTTTATGCTTCGCTTCATTACATTCATTTAATTATGTCAATTTTGAAATTATTTTTATATTTTTGATATATATCTATCTATATAAAAGACTATGATGACAAGCCACACCGTTTGTCCAGTAAACTAACGACGCCATCTAGGAAAGAAATATGAACTACGATATTTCAATCACATTTTTTTCTTGAAACGTCACGTTTAATTAATAATACTGTATTAATTATAATATTAATATAATTATTAATTAATAATTTAATTTAATATTAGTTT